CATGCTCAGAAAGAGGATCACTCTGCCCAAGAAAAGATACAAAAATCATACCAGTCACTTGACCCGACGGCATTTACGTACAGGCACGTCAGAGTGTGCGTGTCCATTTAGAACGTAATCTTATACTCTTAAAAGAATAATATATATATATATATATCGTTTTACCACTACGCTACATATGGCAGGTATCGCTTGGAACTTGAAACTGACAAAAGTTCTCCCAAAAGTTCTGTTACAAAAACGATTTTAACGATTTTTCTGATTCCTTAGCCATAGGCTTAGCTCGATGACAAAGCAGCAGGGTAAGGACAAATATGTCGAGTTTCTAGAACTATCGGTACTTTCATACAGCTTCCCGACCTTTTTTTGAGCTTAACGTGAAGTTTTGAAGTCACTTTCTTTTCGGTTACCTTTACCAAATCCCCGTGATAGCTTAGCGGGTAGTAAATTGTTGGACACATTGTGGTGTAGCTTCGAATCCGGGCACAGGCATATCTCGTTCGTGTTGGCAACCAGTCGTGTGATGGCATTTTAACGGCGTAAAATTTGAAACATAGATATTGCCTTCATCAAGACCGTGAAATACATGAATCAGATTAACCGAATAATACTTCAAAATACCTCGGTGTGTTTGGAATAACTTGAACTATGTACTGGGCTTGTTAGGACGGAATCGTGTAAGAACTATGACAATGGGAGCTACAACAATCGTAAGTTCAGTGGGGTAATAAAATAGTATGATAGAACAATTGCAACAAGTTCCTAACTTGAGTGCTGGCTTAATCAGTCGACGACATCAAACAAAAAAGTCGAGCTAATGTTAGGTATGATTCATTGAACAAAAGCTATAGAAATGATATATGAAAGTCATGAATAAGCTCGGGTGCTCATAACTGTTAGCGGTTAAATGATGTGTATTTATAACGGTTTATAACTCTAAAAAACATTTGTCGCCGCGCAGGTCTCAGTGCTATTGCGTATTCTATACAGACACGTTCGGTTTTTATTTGCGTTGTATCTCAATAAATTTTGGCCCTTTGACAAAAACCGCTTTCAAACTCTGACGCAAACCAAGAAGTATCTGCTGTTATCAGCGATGGGCGACATTCCGTCTCCTTATTGCGCCTGTCGCTCGGAGGTGATACTGAGACCTAGAGATAAAATGCCGATGTCCCAGTGGAATTGTATTGGCCTCGACGGTTTCTCTCATCACTGACATTATTGGAAGCTTCTTTCTTCCTTTGCAAGGAAACCGTTCTGATACGGTCTGAACATAATTTGCGTGCACTGATCGACAGTGTTACGTTGGACGCTACTGTAGCACTTTTCATCGTAGATACATGTGATCCGCTTGAATATTTTTTGTATTGGGGGTATTACGGCTTCTTCTTCTTTTTTTCTTTGTTTTTCGCTCTCTAAATTTATTACACCATTCAAGCGTCCTTGTCTTCTCTCTCCGCTAGTCTCCGCCCTGAGCCGCCGCCCGCAGCTTTTCTTTCTACTCCGAGCGTTCTGTTTTTTGTTACACACATTGCCTCTCCCGTTGCTCGGGAACTAGGGCCCCCGACCGGGCCCCAGAACCACCACTGCCACCATCACCGCCGCCGTGGCGACGCAATCAGGGCCAACACCGCTGCTGTCCTGTGACCCCTTCCTTAAACCCATCGGCCCCTGGTTGTCTCGTTCTCTCTCTCTCTCCCTCTCTGTTTCCTTTTCTTAACTATCTTATAGTCTGTCTATGAGGTTGCTGTGACTGCTTTCCTGCAGTAGCCCCGGAGTAGCGCTACCAGCAGGGGCACTGCTACCTACCCTCCTCCTCATCATCACATCAGTGTTTTAACATCCCCAGCTTCACACAGACCATAGCACAAAATAGCACATATAGTCAGCCGTGTTTTTCCCTTCGTTCCTTTCTATATCATTTTTTGTCTGATATTTCGCTTGTATGGTTTTGTCCGCTGTCCGTAGTCGATACTATATCTTCATTCTAAGTTTGCCAGATGACGAGCTTAACTTACCGTTGACTTTGCTTGGTGAACGCGGTCTCACCGATTCCTATCTGATCATTGAGGTCCGAAGGCAAAGTCCTCGGTAAAACCGGCAGCGGCAGTAGCACGGGTACGGGACAGTCCGTGGCAACACTGGGCCGCGTCGTGCATCGCCGAACCAAACACGGCCCGCCAGGAGCGGAGCAGTGGCGGTGGGGCCAGCGGGCGGTCGGCAAAAAGCATCTTTTCGCCCTTCTCCTCGAATCTTCTTCGGGAGTTTTTGAGAGAGGAGAACAAAGCGGCTCCGGCTGCTACCGCCGCTGGTGCGGCTGCCTCTGCTGCTGATGCTGTGCCAGCTGCAACGACGGCGCGAAAGAGTTGTTGTAGGGCGCGCGAATCGCAGGCAAGCGCTCCGGATAGCTGCCTGGTGCCAGACCGCTCGAGACTCTCAGATCGAGATTCAGACAGCGCGACGGGTCGAGAACGGATCGGAGCACAGCGGTGCAGAGGGTGCTCACCGAAAAACCAAGTGAAGTGTGCGGTGGACGTACCACGATCAGTCGCGTACGCCTCGTGCTGCTGAGAAAGAGAACTCTAATGCTCCGAAGCGGTTTCTTAGGATCTATAAGTAAAGACATCAGGAATGGTCCAACAAAGCATCACCCGAGCAAGAATTGCGTTTTGTTGCAACAGGCCTTTATTGTCGAATACACAAACCCGTCGCGCCTTTATTTAACAAACAAACAAACTAAGAAATATTGTAAGCCGAGCAACAGCTGATTATGGCACTAGTGCATTAACGGATGTCTAGTCTATCTACTGACTGTCACTAACGAAAAACATGGACGGCGGCATATTTTTGTGTGAACACGCTGTGATGTCTCTTGGTTGTTGTGGAAAAGAGAATCCCAAGTAGGTCTCAGGCCCATTAAAGGGCAGAAGCACGTGCCTGACTAATACCTGAAGTGAATACCTAAAGTAGACCGATAGGCCCAACAGTTCAAGACAGGCAAAACCATATCCGAATCTTGAAGTCGAACTGGATACGTTCGGGTATCGTCTAAACGTTACGTTTACTTTCGTTTATCTAGCATATGCTTTCACGAACAGGACGAAAGTGTTTTGTTCGTAGAGCTGTCTTCAGCATCCGCTTGCATATACCATCTATCAAGCAGAAAACAAATTCAGCCAAAGTGCAAGCATAAATTAGAGCAGCAATTGCCGAAATTCTTTTTGCTCAAAACCTTTTGCTACCCGTTATTCTGGTGAGATGTCAACAGAAGCATACTTAGTTGAAGATAGAGACGATTAGTCGTAAATGTGTTATTTCTAATAGTTGTATAAAGTTGTAGCTGCTCAGTGTTAGATTGCCAGTATTAAGTGCGCGACATCGAACTTCTCCCATAAGTGAAATGTATTCAGTAAAGTGATACCGTTGAGGTCAGCCAGTCTTCAATGAATCGTGTGGCGCGACAAACCATGTTGACCTGTTGATGTTGTTGATCAGTTCGTTTACCGGTGGCCAGCTGCGAGTTGCTGTTAAAGTTCGTGTTGGCGGTCGTTAGTGCCTGTGTGAGCGCGTAATCTACGCGTCTCAGTAAAGGTGTGAAGAAGATCTTCACTTTGTGGCTTTCTATGATGAAGCTGAGAACGGTGGTGCCTCTGGCGCTCGTGCGTTCCGTGTTGACCGTAAACGCGTCCGGGGGGAACGCTACGAATCCGACCGCACTGTCGCTTGTTTGCAAGGAACGTGATCCCGGGGCTTCAGTTTCACTTGGACACGCGGTGGGCGTCGAGGTTTTGGGACCGGAGCCCACTGGAGCCAGAGGCCAGTTTCACAAATCGCCAAAGGAACAACCTGCCAATAAAGGCTGCCGTGAAGGAAAGGAGTTGATGGTCGAAAGCAGAGGTAGCGCGTCCCCGCAGCCGTTATCCCCTTCGCCAGGTTAGATAGACAAGTAAAGGCACTAAAACGAAAAACAGATCGCATCGTGCCGCCGCTTACCGTACGGCATGATCGTACGTGACCGAATAATGCGTTAATATAAAATGTACAATAGTTTACTCATCGATAATAATCGAAATGAATAAATCTCAGCAATGCCGCAGTGGATTGACATTTTTGCGGTGTAAGGAATAAAAATTTGGGATTATTAAGGCAAAACAATGTCGAAACGTGTGTTTTTGATAAATTCTGATCCTTTTATGTGGCACATTCCCTGCTAATTAGTTTGCAAGCTAGCATTTCTCCAACGGTTACAGCTTAATTAGCTCGTCAACTGTTTATGGTTCTATTCATTCAAGCTCGCTGTGCATATATATGTGCTGATTAAAAAAAAAGATACTATATAATTTCTAAGACCGACAACAACACTGAGTACAGCCATCGAATGGGTCTTTTAGTGGCAAATAATGGGGGAATCATATAGACGATAAGGATTATTCCCGCAGGAACAAAAAATATCGAAAATCCGGTACGTTCCAGGTACCGAAAATACCAAAACCTATTCGATTGTACAGTCTATGTGGGTTCATTCTAATATGTATTAAAGGAAATGGTTGAAACGGCTAACACGAGTTGAAATTCGCCATAATGTAGAGCTTTAAGTCGTCTTAGATGATATCAAACAATGTTGATGGACACCTTATCCGTACAGACCATTAGCCGGGTATGCGATTTGAAAACAAACCGACCGAAGCTGCACTATGGAGGACAGCTGACGTATGTTTTCAAGAGCACATATATCTGTTTGAAATTAAATGATTGCTTACCATCATTGAGCTTTTATGTACAATCGAAGGGTCAGCTCCAATGCACAAATAAATTTATTTACCGCATAGGTCATGGCATCTATTGCGAATTTATTAATGTCCACAAAATAAACCATTTGTCCACCATCCCCTGGCCTGCGAGCCTGCAGCCGAATAAGTTAAGCGCGTTTGTTTTTTATTTCATTGTCTAGCAATTTTGAATAAACACGGGTTTTTGTACGTTTCTCTGATACTTTTCAGTCGCGATGACGTCTCAGCCGTCAAACGAGTCGGAGCTACAGCTGTACAGGGTTCTTCAACGGGCAAATCTTCTTGCGTACTTTGACACCTTCATATGCCAAGGTAAGCGAAAGCAGGCAGAAAATCCTTCGCGCCTCAAGTAGTGCCCAACGGCTTGAGCACCGCACGTCAACTTCACATTTTATTTACCTCAATAAAAAATCAATCATTCGTCGTTTGATGGGGACACTCGTAAGGTTCGCCGAACCATTTAGAAGTAAATTGGAATCTGTTGTAAATAGGCTTAATCCGTGTTAGTCCTCAGTCGGCAGGTTGATTCGCAGTTCCAACCTGCCTATTGACCAAAATCGAGGGGATCATGTTGTATGCGGATTTTATGACCTTACAACCTGTCGATCACAAAAGGTCGAGCCAGGATATCGTGACTTATTCCCTAATGACCAGCATGCGTTGAAGAATCGACTGTCACCTAACGCACGTCCCAACTAATGTATTTGCTTTTTATATGATTGTAATACCAATTAAGTGCACCCGGTAATCTAGTGTCGACATGTTTACAACCTGCTCGGAAAGATATCGTACCAGAACCACCCCTCGACCAGGGTCATTTCGGGGGTTGTAAAGGTCTCGGGTTAGACTTCGCATTGCGCAAGCGTTAGCAGCTTCATGTAGTTACATCACATGTTTACGATTCGCCATTTGTACATTAATTTCTACGATGAAATATAAGACGCACGCGATAGCTCAAGCAACCAACTTGAATTCTACAAATTGAGTTCTGCATTTTCTGATTCGCTTTTGTTCAATTACGGCAGCTATCTGACACATTAACACATTAATTAACACACTCACACATGTATTAGTACATACATGTGTAAGTGTGAACCGAACCACAACATTTAAACTGCTGCAGGACAAGTAGGCTGTAAGCTTTCGTTCGCCATAGGAATCATCCAGTTTTTTTTGTTGAACCCGTTTCCGGCGATATTCCACGAATTGACCTCTCTCCATTTGCTGATTGCCATGATCCGGACGATCGAATTCAGATCGAGCATATGTTGCTTGGGGAGTTACTTCCTAGTTAGCTTTCGAGTACAGGTTGCGCAGCGCGATCCGCTTCTCTAAAGTGCACCGTCACCACAACACCATCAGGTTCGATCATCGCCGAGGGGAGGCAATTGTCGTTCGTCAGTCGGTCACTTGGTGACGCGGTGAGAGGTGTATCTCTTACTTCGATAGCAATGAGGGTCGGATGTCAGGCATATCAACCTGTGACGGTGGCGTGTCGTTTTTATAGACGACCAGGCCACCAAGGAGTTCATGATAGCTACGCCGACTGTGCTACTGGCTTACGAAGAGGCACATAGTAGGCATAAGGTTTAGTACTATGGACTACAAGCCTTGCATTGTTTCCTGAGACGAGCTGGCTGGCTGGCTTGCTTGTTACTCAACCATTGCGTTGACGATTGATTGCTTCGGAGAATCGCTTAGCCCTGTGTTTAGGCTAGATTTCCTCTGTGATCTATATACCCTGTCGGTGCGTGTCGAAGGCCGCCTGTACATGTGTTTCATGGTAGGAAAAGAAAGTGCTATGGTGACATGAATCGTGGTGCACATACAGAGGACGAGCATGTACAAGCACAGATTAGTCTTCACCGATGTTTGTCTTGACCGTCAGAATTGACACATTACCTGCGGGTCTGTTTGGCAGTCCGATTCTTTGCTGGCAATCGGTGCTATTGATCTTTCCTTGTCAGAACAAAGCGCTCTGTGATAGGTATTCGAAAGCGGTATTAAAGCTGGGATTGTTTCAAAGAAAACCTATAACGTTAACAGCTAAAAACTCTTCACGCTTGAACACCACAAGCGTTAACGTTATCGATTGATTATGCTGTGAATTACGCTTTGAATCACTTCACTATTAATTTTTGACAAACGTTTTAAAGAGAATGATCGAACCCCTGTACCCGACAGAGTATATCCCCTTTCCTTTCGAACCCACTTGACGTGTTCAAAATCTGTGAACCCGATTGACATATTGGCCATTTGAAGTTCGTTTACCCATTACACATGTGTGTGTTTATAAGTGTATAGTAGATGGGATAAACAAGTCAAGTAGCTCGTAGCAATAGCGTGACCGAGTACCTTCGGAACCGTCAGGTCACGCCAAGGAGCCCTTCTGTAGTTCAACATTCACATTTGCATACTATAACATATGAACCTATATACATATATATATATATAGCTGTGACACACTGGCCCACTGGCTGAAATATGGCCCAATAAGATGCTGAGAGCACCCTATTAAACGGCTGTTGCGAGTGATGGGCGCGGCATGGTGTGATAAAACATGGCTGGCTATACGCTTTGCTCGTGCAGTTAGTATAGAAGACAAAACTAGTCGAACTGCCGGTCCCTGAACTATGTCCCAGATGAATCTGCTTTTCGTGTGTAGTATAGAACAACCTGTATGAAGACTGCGAGTTCCGATTTCGAGCTGAGGCTATGGCTGGGTTGCGAAGTGCGAGAAAAAGCGCAGGTGACATCCGGCCAAAAATTTCCATAAGCGCTGTGTCACGAGCCCATGCACTTGCCACCAGAATCATGTCAACGCTACGCCATCTATGTCAACATTATAGGCACGACTAGAGCAATGGAGGAACCATAGTGATGAGTAACTGTCGAGGTCCTAAGGTTTAAGCGGTACTAGGCAATCACTAAAAAGCTATTCAGGTGGAAGGACGAAGCTGGTTCCAGCTGAAGTGGCGACCAGTTCAACGAAAATTTTATGTGGCTCATCATAGCCGTACCAAAGTGTTGACGGTCTATGAAAAGAATCTTTGATTTTGCTAGCTTATGTGTCTACGTTCTGTAGAACAACGATGCTTAGCATAGATGGGCATTGAAAATCCTAGAACGTCATATGGTAGAAAAGTCGTTTGGTTAATTTAGGTCCACTCCCCGCTATAAGCGTTGAACAGATAATATTTGTTTAAAATATAATTAAGCAAAGGCTGTAAATTCATAGTTAAGGCTCGCTCGTTTGTGGCGTCACGGCTAGCACGAACAATCTATCTAAACATGGATCAAGCGCTCTAAAAATGCCGCCTTTCCTTCTAACACAGTACGTGCGCTATATGGGAACAATGTACTAGACATTAGTATTGATATCAACACACTAGTACATACAGAACAGAAAACGTTCCCCATTCTGTTTGAGAGAAATGTTTAACCGTTAACTTGAACTGAAACATACGTTAGTTGGATTGTGTTTGTCAGTTTTTTTTTACTTCGACCATTTTTATTGGTCGACAATCTTGGTCCGTTGACTAGTGCTTTTCATTTCTGTATATTGATGTGCTTTATAATTCCGAGTAGACTATGAAGCGCTATTTAACGAAGGAGTAGAATCGGCCTACAAATCTGGCAACTGCCACCCATTGATATGAAATAGAAGCGTTTGGATTTATGCACTTCCTACCCACTTGCTTCAACGTTCAACGGCAAATAGCACACATGGCCAGCACTAGCCGCTCGTGGCGCCATTTTTCAATGTTTTTATTTTTTTGTTTTTAGATCCACCAACCCCCAGTCGTTGATCACCCCTATTCCAACTGTTGCCCTTAAAGTTTAAATATCCGTCATAGTCCCAAGGGATATTTTCAATTCACGCACACCTCTGTTTTGATGAAGCCACCCTGCCCGCGGCCGTTACGACCATTGCACTAATCTAGGGCCAGTCAAAGCCAGGTCAATACCTCGAATACGTGCTCTGTGTGAGATTGCATTGGTGAACGAACCCGTTCTGCAAGAACGTTTTACCCACACTGGAGCAGTACTTGATCCCTAACAGCTTTAGGCCTTAACCAGTAACTCTAACAAGCTCTAGCCTGACAGCATAGTTTTAAAGCACCAACCAAAAAACAGCAGCAGCAGCGTTGCTAGTACCAACTATGGCATGCTCGTGCACAACGTGCAGTTCTTGTTGCAGCAGTTCGAATCATGAGACCGGCACTCTGAGCGCTGCCATCGCAATGGGTATGTTGAATCGATTAAACGACGAAAACACTACGTTGGAATCTACGAATTTTGACGTTGATTCCGGTAGTACTTTCGCAGTACTTTGGCCAGAAGCGCGTTTGAGAACTGTGGCTTGTTAGTAGGGTTGTCCATCTCGCGACGAACGTTGTGCTATAAGCCTCTGTCCATATGCGACAGTGTTGACGGCGGCCAAGTTGGGGGTTTTCGCCAACGCTCAGCTTCGCGCCGCTGTGGGGTTCGCATCCATCCTATTATTAGAGATACTTGTATAGATTGCATCAGTTAAGTTAGCCGACTGGCTGGCCGCTGGTTGTTGTTGTCAGTTTCGTATTCTCCCGTATTCGCTGTTGGAGCGTACGACAGCAGCAGCAGCAGCAACGGCGGCCAATTGACTATTGTGTTTGTCTGCATGATATCTGCCTCTATATTTGTATGTGCCTTTATGCTACCACGAGGCGTAGGTAGACAAGCCAGTGTTTCTGCTGGCGCTGGTTTGACAGACAAAGCATGGCCGGCATTTTCTTATTTTTATGGCTTTCCTGGTTACGTTAGTTGGCTTAGGTGTACTTCATACAGCGGCTTACATACACAGCTCCAGCCCATGGGTGTGAGTGTCGATCTCTGTGTGTGAGCGGGTCCGTCTCGCGTAGTTGTCCCCGTCCTCTGTTGTTTCGTCTTCGCTTGCGCAATCGAGCGGCCTTTCGGCAATTTTTGGGGAACTACTCTATCCTACGTCATCTATATATACTAGAGAGAAAATAGACAAGAGCAAACGGCGAGTGCCACACAACTCCTTGACATCCTCCTCTGCTGGCAGCAGCAGAATCTATCTGATCCATGGCTGAGTGGCGCCCTCATCTCTCAGGGCAACTCCACAAGCAGGCAGCTGGCTATCAGGACCAGCATCATCACTAACGACAACTATAACAGCGGCACCTAACCCAGCAGTAAACAACTGGCAACAACTAACAGTTCGGCATCGCCGATACTGAATCTAACAACGGCTGTCTCAGCAGCGATTCTCAGCCTGCCAGCCTCATCAGCATCGATAAGGATGCTGCTTCTAGCTTGGGTGTTTGGTTTTTGAAAAAGTGCTCCGATAAAAAAGGGCATAAGAGGGACGACACACGAGTTGAATGGAGAGAGGGAAAGATAGCACGACGGCGTGAGTGAGCTAGAGAATCGTAGAACAGAAAGATCCCCGCATTGAGCTGGTTAGCGAGTTAACAGCAAGTGGTGATGGTGGTAGCCCAAGAAGAACGCTGCTAGGGAAACGCGTAGGTTTCAATGAGGACGATGAGAAGGAAAGAAGGACGAACGACGAACGGACGCCGAGCTCGGCGTTGCTGCTGGAGTCCAAAAGTCCTATGGAAGTCCAAGAGAGTGAGACGCTGCAACGCGTCTGTAACCGTCGTTGTTGATGTTGGCTCTCTTTGGCTTTTTTCGTTCATTGCGTTTGGAGTCGAGCACAAGCTGGGTAGCCGTGCCGAACCACTATTACTGAGAGCGGTGCCGCCCAGAGGTGCAATCCCACGCGTGCATCGGCAAGCCTAGAGAAAGTTCTAGGATAGGGCGTCGCTCCCCTCCGTCCAATAAGTTAACTTGAACCTAACCTAACAATAACCAAGGGACCGCTTAGGCGTTCCCCAGGACAACGAATAGTCGAATCAACCGCTGAGCGGCAGATTTGCGGGAGGCTTGAATTAGAATGCTAGTGGAAATTGCCTCTTGAAAAGCACTCGCTTACGTCGCAGTTCCATCGTGGAGTATTTGGTGGGATATATTTCGTTTGCTCGGCTGAACTCAAACCAATAGAGATTCGCGCTGACGACTTTCCGTACTCTACAAGCTATATATACTATTTAATTAACATAGCTTGCAATGTATCGTTTATTGAAGGAGGTTTTTTCTTTGTTGGGCCAGTCAGCTTACGAAACAGGAATGAAACCGTTGATTGAAACTGTGTGGGATGTGCCCCCTTCTCGACTGGGTACGGTTGTCCTAGGTAGAATAGGAATATCTTTTAATATGAGAGCACATTTTGCATGTTTGTGATTGTTCTGTGACTGGAGCTTTGTTGCATCTCTGTATGAACGTAAGTATTGGTGACCTGTGACAACGGTTGGCTCAGAAAAACAACGAATATGTTCCTACGAATAGTTTCCCGATATTATTGGATATAAATTTTCTGATCATTTGAAATTAGGCCGGATTGAATCGAAGACATATATTTGTTGAATATTTAGCTAGGTCAGTACGAATACACACATAACGTCCTATTGCTCTACGAGAGATAACGCACAGCATAAGTGCTTAGAGAAACTAATGCTTAAAAAATAAATAGGAAGTGAAGTATTAATAATAAACAATCATTAAAAGGCCAATTACCAATGATATCTGTCTACTGTCGCAAAAATTTAGTACCGCAGCAAAGACGAGTGTAACGATAGTGGAACTTCATATATTACAGTTAAAATGCTTGCCGAGCAAAAACGTCAGACCGTTCGTGTCACGTAACCGATCTCGATAGCGATACTAAATATTTCAAAATGAAAATTTGCTTTTTTTAATTTATAAAGTTAAAATACTTTGCACAATGTAGTGTACTCGTATTAAACTTAAATGTCTGCTTTTTACTGTTCATAGAGTCTTATAGGTGTTCAGCAGTCAAGCAACTAGGTTTCGAAATAAAGCTGCACGAATAACGTGGAAGGGAATGGAGGTGAATTAGAACACCTTAGAAAACTGTTACAGAATCGTGTTCTTAACTCCTGCGTATGAAATTTTCGTTTATGCACGAAGAGTTCAGCTGTTATAAGTGACAGCTGAACAAACAATTGAAATTACTTAGTTGAAGTCAAATGTTTCTTGATATGATCACATCTACTAAGGCAGACAATGTCCTTTTTTTTTTTTCGCACAAGTGGCACCGTTCAGCGAAGGGTTTAGTCAAAAGGATCTGTAATGTTCTAATATTGTTCTGGGCACTTAAAATAGAAAAGCTATTCAACACTCAGGTAGTTTTCGTTCTCCGAGCACAAATACCGCTGCTTTTCCCATGAATAAAATGTCTAGTTAAGTTTTTGTTAAAGGTCGAAGGAGATCTACTCTGTGCTATTATATTTCGAATCGCATCAGATGATATTGTAGAGGAACTGCGAATGGGCACACTTTTATGTGCCCATCCGACGTTATTGTCCACTGCTTAACTTAGCAGCTTGCTCTGACGGAAAGACGCCGTCCGAGCTTCATATACAATACAAGAACATGTAACTCGTTCAGGCTTGTAGCATCACGTGTTCTTCGATTGCACCATGAGTCGTTCGTCTTAACCTGACGGCGTTACAGTTTTAGGATCTCGTACATAAGCACCAATATTCCATTCATGTTCGTTGGCGTTTACCATGATTTTCTAGGAGGGGATGATGTGCAGCAGTTATGCGAGGCCGGGGAAGAGGAGTTCCTTGAGATAATGGCGCTTGTCGGCATGGCCTCCAAGCCCCTTCACGTTAGGAGGTTGCAGAAGGCTCTGCAGGAATGGGTTCAGAATCCAGGTGAGTGCCACAACCTCGAACAGTGCGGACGACTTTAGGTAATTAATGGTCAGAGATAAATGATTGCTGCCGTGCTAATACAGGTAGTAAATTGCATATTACAATTAAATTATTTAATTGGTTTTAGTGATTGGTTATTCTGCCATGGACAAATGTATCGCACCGTTTTCGATGTGCTTTGCGATGGCTGTGCAGGAAGCTTTGTTCAAAGCTTCAAATGAACAGAACTTAAACGTTCCCCCATGAGTAGTAATAAGGGTGTATATTTCTAGCATTGCACTGAACAGTATTAATGTGATATTACCTATCGCATATTTGCAGGTAAGTACTATTTGTTTGAACGTGTCCAAATAGATTTTTATTAAGTCCCCCGTATGTGAACATCAAAAGAGCTAAGATCTTTACTGACATATCTCTGTTACCGTAAAGAATCTTCCGCCAGGGTTTCGTCCTGTTCAAACACAATAATAACCGCAACGGTAGAACATTTTATACGAACTTGTTTATCTCGCGTGTTCAACCATTGTAGGGTTGTAGCAGTGTTGAAACCATACAATAAGTCACCGCCTCAAGTAGATCCTGTCGTGATAGTACACTAAAAATAGGCTGTAGTTTCTCCCAAGTCAGCCTACGTGTACAATCAAAGACCACTTAATCATTGCTTATTTCACACGTTACTGCGTGTCTGCAAAGAAGTCTCAGTACTCCAAATCGCGCGCGTTATTCGCAGTTGCTGCTTTTTTTGGAAGCCACCGCAGTGACGGGCCGACCAGCCAGCCGGTCGCGCTTCCAAGAGGTCTACGTTAGGTGTATTTCGAGACTTTAAATTTAATAACTCCGGTGGTGGGAGAACTCAGCTCGAGATGTCTTTCTCTATTTACTGCCTAATGCGCCAACGCGTATTTTTTAAATCTCCAAAATATTTGCGTGTATGAACGCGTTTATAAGTAAGCGGACATCCTAGATACAGTGCTGAGGCGTCTGTTCAAAGAGAATCAGTAGCAACTGATGGTTTAGGCGACAATCAAACGTATCCGTTCCTGCTGTTAACGATGCCAGTATTGGCTCTGATATGAAGGACGGCAGATTGTGCAGGTTTCATAAAACGTACGGATACAACCCGCTTCTATACACTCGGGGCAATTTGTGAAATAATGTGTGGCTATAGATGTTAAATACATATGCTAAGCCTTGTGGTGACGTAGATTTGCAATAACCGTAGAGAAATCAGTGTCATTGAATGGTGACTGAACGGTTGAATAACCTCCTGCCGGTTGTAGCTCCACAACGTAGATCACAGCGCGAGATTCGTACTTAATTTACAAACATTGTTTTATTTTGATTCCCTGAGTACTATTAAAAGACGTATGCTATATTATCAATAGATAATATGAAAAAGTCATGTAGACCGCTTACTGGGATACCTGCAACGCCTACTCCTTTGCTAAAGTGTTCACAACCATTATGACAACCATATCTTACCATTGGGTCATCCTTGGCTACCTCTGTTCTCCTTGCTGTCGAATCGAACACCGTACATCGGCGAAAGAAGGCGGAGCCTGGGGTTGAGTCGAGCTTCTGCCGGCTTTTTTGTCCCGCCCAAAGAGGTTGTCAGCCGATCTCGTTGGTATTTTTTGCTCGTATGGCATGCGCCATACAACAGTGCCTCCGTCACCATTTCTGCCGCTAGCGCTAGTGCTGTTGGAGCAATAGCAGCAAGACTCTAACCGATGCTCCCAGCTCCCTCCGTTTAGGCGCTCTCGTGCTCCTAGCTGGTCCCTCTGTTCTTCTCTCTCGCTGGTTGCACACGTTCCTGTGCATCGTTTCTATATGAACTGAGGTTTCTGCCAGAGCGAAGCGAAGCGACTCGCCTGAAGTTGTCCTTGCGACATCAGAAGGAGCCAGGGTGAGAAAATGAGGGACCCGCTTATACTGGTGTCCCTGTGCCGCCCCGTAAGTTCATCCGCCAGTTCGTAGCGCAAAATAAAATAATACACGAGCGCCACACGAGCTGGCGTAACAAGGACTCGCTGTGGATGGCCTTCGAAAGGGTAAAGCAGTCTCTAGCGGTTGCAAGGGCAGAGGCTAAAAGCCCGGTGATGTCGACGTAGAGTTTGCTCGTTTGTGTTGGATGCAGGCGAAACGCCACTGCCCAACTGGCCGCTCGCAGCACGAGCCAAATCTACTCAAATCTGCTCTCTGCTTTGTTGTCTCTGCCCGTGCTGCTAACCTAGTCGCTCTACCATGGCCTCGATTCTGTCGCTGTTATTTCGCTACTGCTGCTGCTGCTGCTCCTGCTCACGCAGTCGCCGCTCCCGTTGGTCCTTAGTAAACTAGGAGAGAATTCGAGACAGCTGAGGCAGGGAAGCCCGAGGTCCCTGAGCGACGCGGGAATTTGGGGGACCATTAGGGACCGATAGGGTGGGCGCTCTCCTCTGAGCTTCTGCTGCTACTGCTTTCACTACTGATGTGGGGCGGCCGTAGCCATGACTGCGTCTCGCCGGCAGCAAACGTTGATGGTAGTGGCAGTGGAGCCGGCGCTCGTGTGGAAGGTGGTTTTTGGGAAGCGAGAGGGTGGACTGCGGTCCGCCGGCACGAACGACATACAAAGCGCTTTTTGTGTTGAGCCCTTAGCCCGGGGCAAGCGGACAGTGAGGAATAGAAAGCAAGTATGCTAGACCGGCTCGCCGGACCAACAGCGGATTCTGATTTGTGAGTTGCGTCGAAGTAGCTCTCGTAGAGGCCAGCAGCAGCAGAGGCACCAGTGTAGGGTGGAGTCTATCTGCTTATGAGGGAGAAAACTCATGACTCGTGGATCGCAAAACGCATGCGGGGGTGAAGGGGTCGCTAGGGTACGGAGACACAGAAACCCTCACAAACATACACATAGATAGTTGTAGGTACATAGGGAGATTGCAGACAACATCATGATGACGTTATGGATAGACTAGAAGAATAACTAGGGTAATATGTACCGTATAGAGCTCAACTAGCGAGCCCTGTTGTGTGGGGAGGTGATCTCAGGACCCTATCACAGGACCATGGGGCAAAGAACGCAGATAAATGAAGCAGCATAAAGTTGGAAATAGGCGACATATGACAGAAGTGTGAGAGACAAAGTGGAGTAATTAGAAAATGCCGTGCGACAAACGCAACGAATGTTGTGCGTCCACCGCAACAATAATAACACTGAACGTCACATTTACGATTGTTTTTCTCTTAGTTAAGTGCGCCTATGAATACCGCTGAAATAGAAAGCGAAATTTACAAAAAAAAAAAAAAAAATAACTATGATATTACGGTAAAAGTCAACAACCTTCCTCCTAAGTCTGAGCTCACCATTGAACTAATTTAGCCAAAAACAGATTGTCAGTTCAAGTTACTAGTGGCTTTGCTTTTTCATCTTTTTTTTTTTGTTTTTTTGTATTTTATATAATAGATATATAGATCTAGATCGGAGCGATAAAAAACCGAACAAAAGGCGTCTTTATTTTGAAATTGAATGTATCCATTAAGAACCCCGGTTCGGTTCTAGTGCCGTTTCAATCATCTGCGAACTCTGTGTTCTTGAATCCTCCTACTGATGCGTATAGGCTGGCTGTATTGTGTAGATTTGGATACACTTTACGCATCCCTGGCCAAAACATTCACTAGACATTGTTCGGAGTTCCGCTAATCCATCTTCTTTCTCTACGGCAATTCGTTGCGATCAATTTGTAGCACCGATCGATCGACAACATCTGAGGCGGTTTACGAACTTCCTGTAGTGACCTCGAAACGTCGGCTATTTCGAACGATGACTGTTGTTGCATTATCCTTCGGCTCCATTTATAAATCATTCGCTTCAAGTAGAGCTAAACAGACCTGCTACCTATAGGCTCGATTTGCTCATCGCGCCAATATCATCGTCTTTAAGCGGATATCCTGTGTCTGTCATTTGTGCGTTTGTTTCTACGTGCCTATATGTACATGCGTACATCGTGAGGATGTTATCGACATCGGCCACGTGATCATCAGGATAATCGGCGCCATCAACACGAGAATCCGCAGCGGTTGTCCTGCTGACTCGGTTCCCAACAAACAAACGACGGCACCTTCTTGCTGAGTGAGCCACGGCGATCCCATCCATAGATACCGTACTTTTTCTGCCACTTCGAATGGCGAGCTGTTGTTTCCTTGCCGGCCAGCCGTTTGCTCGTGAAGTGTGAAGAAACCTGCGTCACCGCGGTTTTCGACGGCTTCCATTAGGAACATCGCTGTGAACATCAGTGGCCATAGCGTTGTCTCTTTCTTCTTCTATCTTCGACGTTCACTAATTGAGCGCATCTGTTGCGGCGCTGATCGCACAACGCTAGTCTATGGCGTTTCTGATACGTATCAACAGTAACCGCCAATGTACACACGGAGTCACACACAGAATTCAAGTGTTTAGCTCCATGGCAGGGCGCTATACAGTGTTGGTGGGCCGGACTGATAATCCCATTTAGTCCGATGCATTATATCTCTACTAATCATGTTAATGGGGCCTTGTCGCATGTTGCTCAGCCAATATCGATGATGAGGTTGCTTTTGATCTTGATTATGAGCTGTTACCACAATCAACAGCACCTAAAGTCCTGCAAGCCTCATAGACTAGTCCGTATTAGTAATAGGGATCTGCAGAGCATCAGATCGCGCGGCTGACGAACCGGCTGGTGTTCGCAAATCTCAAACTTCAGAAGAGCAACGCGAACATCTAAAGTACCATCGACTGTTCATCGGCATCGCGCGTTTAAGCTTGGCCCGACGAACTGTCTATGATACTCGCCTAATTAGATTACTTATTGAATCCGTGCAGCGTATCTCTGATCACTGTTCAGGATGCCTGATCATCGACAGTAATCGAAAGCATGACACGCCTAATGAGAGAAAGTTCAAGTGTCTGACATTTGAGCAACTAGTTAGTTGGCAAAAAATTCAAGAAACTGCGGCCTACATCCATCTTGAGAGCACTTCGCTCGATTATGTGTAACTTACATAAACGGGCTCAAAACTGATACTAGAAAATGCCGAGATAGTGTCATAGCAATACCACTAGTTGGTCGTACTGACGTTTAAGCGAATCGTTAGACACGGCAAGAAATTTGCGCTCGTTACATGTCTATTTAGCACAGCCACGGTAGAGCTATAACGTACGAAGTCCCGCAAAGATGCCATTAGTCCTCTTAATGTTGTTACCTTTCTTCAATGCCATTACTAGTCGGTAATGCCGATAATTCAACTTGCGTCTATTGTCGACTTCGATTCGTTGTCGTTCAGCCTTCACTCGTGAGTACAACTGAGCCCCCATTACAGCCCTAAATCTTTTACATACCCCAGCCAAACCTCCAGCCGCGAAGTCTTTCTCTGACAATCTCCAGCCACCTGCTTGCAGGCACGCCAACGTTGCGCATCTGTTATTTAACCAAGTGCTGCTATGTTTTACCGTCGGGCCGACTGAGGAGCTTCTGGTCTGCTAGAGCTGTTAACCACTCGTTGTCGCAACTTGCGGTTTCGACAACTGTATTGTGGTACCGAATGCGCTTGAAAATAGAAAGAAATTAGCGGATCCCTTATCTAAACGTACTTAGCCTGTCTGATGAAAGAAGTCCAATCTCGAATGCTTGTTGCGTTCCTTGAGCAATGCCAGTTCACCGCACTATCCTTTAAACGAGTAGCTCCGAGGGTCAACTCTACGTGGGGTCAGCTGCAGACGTCGGGGGTAGCAAATAGCCTAATGGTAAGTATATATATATATATATATATATATATATATATATATATACCTATTTTTGCCTAATCCTAAACAATGGGGTCAGAAGAAAGCGAGTAAATTGGTATGGCAGTAGTTGTAGGAGTGTCCAATGGTGTTATGCGCACATATTCCGCGGCTCCGCCCATGATTAGGTCTGTCCCGTTAGGTCTTTTCGTATCCACGTAACCACGCAGAAGCAATCTCTTTTCGTGCTGAGCCTGATCTGGCTTGACCTGGCTACAAATTTCGCTTCTTCGTAGATGATCTGATTTTATTCCTTAGCACAGGACTGTTATGAGTTCGGAGTGAAGGTGGTTAGAGAGAAGAGTTGTGTTCAGGGGTTAACGGAGGGGTGACCAGTCCCTGGAATCCGCTACCGCCTGGTTGAGCTCGTTAATTTGGCAAGAAGATAAAATATTCACCCCATTGTTGGGCCACATATGTACGTTCACCAAAAGACGAAGGGCCCGGACACACAACGCCTGGCCGGTCAAATATCGCTTTTGTTGTTACTTGTTTGGGAAGGATGATCCCTTCTTGCCGAAAGGCCGCGGTCAATTGCGGTAAAATATGGATAATCGGCAATGGCTAATAAGCTCGAGGATAGTTTAAGTGAACGGTTTATTTTTGGATAATCGTTGAGAAAATCTCGTCTATAACCAGTGAGCTTTTGTTGTGAAAGGATCTTGATTCGATTGAGGATGGCTCGCGCAATCGAAATTATTTAAAAGATACCGAAGGAATTTAATAAGGAAACTAAGGAGTCTGAAAATTCAAAGAGTTGCAACGCTCATAGTTCAATTTCACACTCCGCCAAACTATCAATGCATCTACTTAACGTTCCATCAAGCACAATAGGCATAAATAAGGACTAGCACTAATGAGTACATGGCACCTTTGCGTCGTCTAGCGGCAGTAGCAAGAAATCAACTGAAAAACGTTTACACATAGTCAGGCCACCAAAAATAGACCGAACAAAATATAAAATCAATATTTCGAGTCTTACGTTCACTACTGACTTAGTCGCACTAGGTCAGAAAAAACAAAGCATGTCTTCATCCGGTTTTGAACCTAACCACCTAGAGTTTTTCTAAATTTAGTAGGTAGAATACGTTATGACTCTACTGTCACAAAGCTGGACTAACCTACCGAATCCGCTTTTTTTTGCGCCTTGATCGTCTCATTTCAGCCATGTTTCAGAGTCCGCTAGTATCCGGCGGGTCGGGAGGCCCCCCGACTGCAGCAACAGGGGGCGCAGCATGTCCCTCTTCAGGTGGCGGCTTACCCCGGGGCCAGCTAACACAGCCTGGCCCCGGCAACCTCAGACCGCCTTCCCACGGCAGCAACAGCAGCAGCAGTAACAGCAATAATAACAGCAACAGTCATAACAACAACAGTAATAATAACAACAGTAATAATAATAGTAACAATAACAATAACGGCACTTCGAGTTTGCTGCCGCCGGGCACTTCGTCGACATCAACAAGGGATGGTCAATTGCCCGGACAGAAAAGGCCAGCCTCATCGGTCCTAGATACTTCGACCACCCCTGGCTTGATCGGCACCGGCGCCACAGTGAATACACCTCAACAGCAACCACAGCAACAACAACAACCTCACGGGCTATCATTCAGTCTCCAGCAGGTGAGTTATCTGAGCGAATCAGTCACAGAAGAGATAAGTGTGACAGAAATTGCGTGGCCACGAGGCAGAGTGCGTACTTCACGACTTTCGCAACAGCGAAATCCAAAAAAGCTCCCGAGTGGGAAGTTTTGGGGCACTTTTAGCCGAAGGTCAGGTTAGAAAGATATCTTTTCAGGTGTGACAAAGATATAGAGAACGATTGCTGAGACTCTTATTATAGTCTACTGGTTCTAATTATATCTCGACACGTATACATAGCCTGCAAGTAGTATACGTTCAACTTCCGGCTTCAAAGCCAGACAAAATGGGAGCTTGTAAGTACGATTTATAGAGCAAATTCTGGATATCTCGAGTTTTAACCGTCTTTAACTATGAAAGAGAGTGAACATTTAAAAAAATAGTACTCTGATATTAGACGAATATAGTTCTTCTTTCTTTTGTTCCTCATCGCTAAAGAATGATCACTAAACCATTCAGTACGATAGGGTATATTACGGGTCGATTTCGTTCAGGATCGCACCGTAGCAAATATCGTTCCGCTAATAGCACATAACAGGATAGATGGTTTATATGGGGTCAATTTATCAGAGGCTGTCTTTTGCACAGCCACATGTGACTCCCTGTTAGCGCTGTTCCTGGTCCTAGAGCGGACGACGCAGGCCGTTTTCGGTCGCCATCTGCTCTTCTTTTGCTGGGGAACTTTGCTTAGTTAATACGTCTCAGTAAAACCGAGCCTGGTTCCAACCACCGCCGCTGAGCCAGCAGTACTGTGCGATTCCCTACTTTCCGCTGCTATAAGAACGCTCCTAGATACAATCGCCTCGGTATCTGACTGATTGGTCTCGTGCTGGACAACCGTTCTGGATGACGGCGACGCCGTCGCCGAAACACCGTGCTTCGCGGTATGTGTTTCTTTATTCGCTTCAGCGGTTGAGGAGCAACGGCAATCCAAGAAGAGTTAATTAGGAGAGGAAGTTTCGTAAAGCGCCTGCGGCCAACTGAGCCTTCGGCTCCTGCCACAGGCCAAACTAAGCTGATGGTCAGTCAGATGTTTGGCGCGATGTCCCATCGCAGGCAAGAAAGAAAAGCTGGAGAAGCTGAACATGATCAGAAGTGCGACAGTTCCGGTAGTCGGGCTCAGGACTCCACCGGTACTCTGTCCCAGCCACCACGATGGAAAAGAAACCAAGCCGAGATGCACGGATACCTAACGAACATAACGACGATACCCGGCCGTTCACCTGCCAACCAAGCAACAATTGAGGGAAGGTGACGCAGCAGATTAAGGAGTAATGAAGCAACAGCTTTGGCAGGACCAGGCAGTTGGGCTTGTGTCCTGCTCTTCAACTGGCAGAGAATCGAATATATTGGTATTAGGGCACCTATCGCGTCAGAGACATCTTCGTGGCTTGCGGTTTTACCCAAACCAGAAAAGCTCTCGTAACTCCACGGCTGGCCCTTATTGTAAACGACACTTCTGTCCAGCACATCGCTTGAACGGGCAAGAATCGCAGAATTGCCACCGGGTTATACCGTCCGCTTTTTATTAATTAATATTATTGTACAATTATAAATTGATGCTAAATATTGAATCGTTATTTAGCGAGAGTTAATAACATAAAGCACGCAAAACTGTCACTGAGCATCTAACCCATAGTCCATTCATATGAATTTCAATGTGGATGAATTGAGCTTACCACGATCAAGACATGTATATTCATCGAAGGAAGTGTGCAAATTTTAAATATCTAAGTTTCGACATTTCGAAACCCCACACGGTTTCGTACCTCAAAAGAAAAAGCTTCAATTTCTGTATGTTCTCATATCCAGTTAAATAGCTACACTAAACATATTAAACGTACATTACTTACAGACTGTTAACGCGCAAATAGTTTCCCAATCGAACGCGCCTTTCGTACCGTTTGCTTTTCTCACTGTTCGCCTAATAATCGCTTTGTCATGGCTGTGATGATTGGCCGATCCCCTAGAATCGCAGATCGCGATTGCATTGAGTAGTACGCCAGTCGAACTTTTCAGGGTCCTAGGTCAGCACAACTATCAAGTGCCGACCCCTATTCCGCACTCAATCCAGTGCCGTAAGTGGCAAACTTGTTCGTTGATCGACTCACTTTCAACAGAAGCTGCTGCGTATCTAACATAGCTCATATTTTTGTGTGCTCTTTCTACAAAACTAGTAGACTGTCTGAATACCCCATAGCGCACGCTCTCCAATCCTTCTTCGCTCTGTGGCACTGACTTTCGGCGTAACCTGGTCCTCAATCGAGACGCGCACACGGGTGCACACACGCACACTTCTATTGCGTCGATCAAAATTCACTATAAGCCAAACACTACTATAAGCCAAAATAGTGGAAATGGTCAGAGGGTATCTCTTGTGATTACAGGAGTAGACGCAGCACCAAGGGCAAAGCGCATATGGAGACAAAGCACACACTAGCTGGCCTTGTATCTCGTTGATTTCTATAGGACCTCACCGCGACCAGTCTCGACCCCGGTGTACCTGTTCTGGCTTATAGGTGTCTACCGCGCGATTGAGATGAAGAAAAAGAGGCTGGGTAGCAGGTAGCAGTTAGAAAAATGAGGTTATGTTATGTAGGATTCGATGTGTGCTAGCTGCAGGAGATATATCATACCGGTAGGGACTGGTTGTCTCTGTGCTGTCGCCTTTGTGTATGCCTAGGGACGCGGTGCAAGATGCGATCATCCTTTAGCGAAAGAAATAGCTTGCAGGCCCCTGCGAACAGGACAACAAAGACAGACAGGAAGGCTAGAACAGGGCAGCCCCGTCTGAGGAGACATTCCTGTTGGTGGGGCTGATTGGAGGCATAGCGAAACAACACCATCGATCATGAAACACGCTACTACCACTATCAGTTAGCTGACTACTCAACTTGCTAGTACGAATCAATACGATGTGAAAATCCTGCGCGACTGACTAGGATCCGAACGTCCACTATCAATCCGAGGCGATTGTGTTCGACCATTTCGAAGCTGAGAAACTAACAATTGCGTTGACCGAGCTGCCATACCGCCGTTGCGGACTCGATAAGAGCGCCGTCAATTTTGAACGATTCGCAGGGGCCGTTTCAGCATGCTTCAAATGTCGAGGTCAGGCTGGCTTATTTTCAGTCGGTCCGAAGTAACGTCCCCAACTGATATGTAAAATTGAGTTGAGTCAGTGGAGCATTCGAAATTCGGCTGCTATATACCACTAGCTCTTCCGGATACAAAAAGAACGAGCAAAGACTTTGAAGCAAATGCAGAAAGGTGGGATGCGTTTGTAACCTTCCACATCTGCCAGAAATGGGTTAAAAGCGAGACGAGACGTATGGATCGAGCGGAGCTAACATACTGAAAAAATACGACTTCCTCTTGTAAGTGGTCACCCATCCCAGCCGATGTGAATGTTTCTTGGATCTACAGTGTGTTGATTATACGGGATGAAGTAATTCTTGCCCATTAACTGCCTCTTTAGGATAGCGTAGAACGAATGCTTCTTTACATCGTATCGAAAAATATGTGAGCAGCTTTGGGGCTAGTTTTAATGTTGAGAATCAGATATGGGACGGAAGACGACCGGTTCCTTCATAAGATAATAGGTTAACCGAAACACTAAATGGGTTAGTTGATTATCCGTCACACTATGGTACATATATGTACATGTATAATATGCACATTATTTGCTAAGTTATAATCGTCATAGGGACTTTCTGAAAGGTGCAGGATCATATCACGACTTCTTCTATGTGTTCTGCTATGGGAATAAATGTAAATAATGATACCGCGTCACCCTCGGAGCTTATTCGAAACACGGAGGGAGTCTTCCCCCAGGACTAATCCCAATTATGACGCATAATATTGTCGTGCATGCAGCTCGATCGCCAGGCCCCCACCATCATGCATGTGGACATCAATGTAGGTGTTTCGCTGCCAGCAAATCGCGTCATAGGCATAAAACAGCATGTGCCACCTGTGTATGATGTGGGCTGTCATGTTGTCACGCGACGCGGCAAAATTCGAAAAGGGGTTTAAGATAGTTCTTCACAGTGATCGTTCACACAATGCGATACGTTTTATATTCTCACGAAATGCGAGCAAAAGATACAACATAAAGTGGGATGGTACAAGGGGACGCGAAATCATATGGTGACTGTGACTGCCAAATCAGCCCTATTCACAACCGTAACCTGGCTCGATTGATAACAGCCCGTTGTCCGTTCGCCAAATGGCCGGCCAACTGTGCTCTGAGTCTTGGTTCTCTAGCCGATTTCGTTCATAGTTGACATTGCAAAATTGTAGCATTTTTGAGCGATTTTTTTAACCGGCCGCCAGTGACACGAACCAACTTGTACCTCATCTTTGCAATGGTCCACAATGCTCTCACGGCGACAGAGAGATAAAATCACGCTCTGGAGCCGACCGCTTAATAATGCGATTATTTGTTTGCGTATAATGAAGTGGGCAACTTATTGTTAACTATGCGATATTAAAAATTTGTGACAGACTCAGTGTGACAGCCTGATAATGCACAATAGGATAGCCATGGTATCGGTGCGCCGCGTGCCGCGACTGCAGACGAAGCATCACGGAATGAAGTCACCCGACGGAGACTCAGTGCACGTTGGTAATCACTCAAAGTGACCTCCAGAGGTACTCATGTTCATATACCTCCCGTAAGCCCTTTCCCGTGCGCGCGCTATCGTTTGACTTCACCAGATAGTTCTCGCTGTTTTATGCTTGAACGCAAAAACGTGTGACGTTAGTATAACAGTCTTATTTGTAATAATTTCGTTTATAGTGGTATCTGCTAGTGGTATCAATACTGATACGCTAAAATTTGTTTTTTGTTGAATGGACGAATTCAATCTTATTTCATTACTAAAGGAACATTTCCTGTCACTATCTTTACGTGAGCGATCGATTCGACTTAACATACGAGTAAATATTTGTATGAACAAACTTGTAGACCTTTTTGTGCG